CCCCAAAACCCCAAAACCCCTCAAAGATATATGAGTGGTATAATAGATATCAATAATAAATTATTAATCATGAATATCATAAATAAGATACAAAAATCCTTGCCTGCTCTATCAAGAACAGTTAAGCCCGTCAACTATTGTCTCTGGAGCCAAAATCAATATGCAATGAGGTTCTTTGCTGCTAGTAATAATCAATATAAGTCTTAACTTTTGCAATTAGACTATGAATAATTCAAATTTGAGAATATTCTATTCGAGAAAAGAGAAGGAGGAGTAGGATATGTTTAGCTAAACAGACCAAAGGCTCTTAATGCTCTTTGTGATGGACTATTCACTGAACTCATTCAAATTCTAAAGGAGATGGATAATGATCCAGAGGTTGGATGTATCATTCTAACTGGTAGTGAGAAGGCTTTTGCTGCAGGAGCTGGTAAAATTAATGGTTATTTATGATTTTAGATATCAAGGAGATGAAAGATCAGACTTTCCCACATACTTATACCTCAAATATGCTTGGATGGTGGGATGAAATCACTAGAATTAGAAAACCAATTGTTGGAGGAGTTAATGGATACGCTTTAGGAGGTGGCTGTGAGCTCGCTATGATTTGTGATATATTAATTGCAGGAAGTAATGCCAAATTTGGTCAGCCTGAAATTACTCTTGGAACTATTCCAGGAATGGGAGGTTCTCAAAGACTGACAAGGGTTATTGGTAAATCAAGAGCAATGGAAATGGTTCTGACTGGAGAATTTATGGATGCTAATGAAGCAGTCCAAAGAGGATTAGTTAGCAGAGTCGTTGAGCCAAAGCTATTGAATGACGAGCTTATGAGAGTTAGTAGGAAAATAGCCTCAATGTCTAAGCCAATCACAATGATGTGCAAAGAGGTTGTTAATGAAGCATATGAGACTGGTCTTAAGGATGGATTGAAATATGAAAGAAGAATTTTCCACTCTACTTTTGCAACTAATGACAGAAAGGAAGGCATGACTGCTTTCGCTGAAAAAAGAAAGCCAAACTGGACTGATTCATGAAATTTAATGAATCCTTGATAAGAAGGTAGCTTCCTATTTAAAATATGGACTTTTTTATTGATAAATATTACCATCATCTTATCGATCCTTAATTTTTAAATCATGGGGTTTTGGGGTTTTGGGGGCATCCAATAAGATAGTGCCTAATAGAATCAAAG